CCCCAAAACCCCAAAACCCCAAAACCCCAAAACCCCATCTCGAAGATGAAAAACTGAATCATCTCTGTTCTTAGTATTAATAATCTCCCAATATTGCACTTTGATCTCCATTATGTATAAATAAATAGCCCCACTATCTTTCTACTTCTAAAAGCAATCCTAGACAGAGCCTATCTCTACTAAATGACCGTAGCACACTTCAAAGCATTAATTCTAACTCGTCTTCGCTACCACCTGAAGTCTTCTCACCCTAAGTCCCTACATAATAATTATTCCAGAATATCAACATTGTCATAAACCACCTCCAACGCTTCACTCTAAAAAGAGGCTTACTCTTCTTCCATAAAAATTAAGTAGTAAAGTAACCTACAAAAAGTTAAAAAGTTCCAGTGACAAACATTACTGTTGCACTTAAGGAATAACATTATAGAAGCATTTATTATTTGCTTGAAGAAGAAATAGTTGATTTAACTTGAATTTTTTAATAATGTTGCTTAATTGAATTAGAATTCATGCATTTAGTGTAGGAGTGGAAATTTTTTGGAATACAATTAAAGGTGTAGATAAATTTTCATAAGATAGTTGAAAAACCAAAGTATGTGGTCTTAACTTGTTATGGGATGAAGAGGCTACTCTATAGTGGAGTAGTCTGTAATATCTTTTAGTACTTTGGAATTAGGAACTGATCTTTTTGTGCCTGTTTTTGTGATATCGAGGTATCCTTTGATGAACGCACTGTGGCTGATGATCAGCAGTTTTTGAGGCGATTCAATATTCTGAGATGATAAAGTCTTGAGATGACCTTTTACGATAGATTTTGCTTTATTCACTCTATTTCAGATTTCTTCTTTAGTTTCGAGTGTTTTAGGATAAATTTTTAAAATTACTTCTTGGACCATCTTGATAATCTCTTCATCGGTTTTCTCTGTAATATTTTCATCTTTGAAAACTTTGTACTGAGGAATAAATTTTTGAAGCAAATTAAGAGGTTTTTCGTCTTCATTTGCAATTCTACTAATATCAAGTTTAGGAAGCTTTTCTTTATAGTCATCGATTATTTTAGATATATCTGTTACTAGCCCTGAAGTTGCTCTCATTCCTCCTCGGATTTCCGGGGTAACTTTAAACACAATTTTTGATAAATTTGGGTGACTTTTTAATAAGTTATAAGCTGTTTCAAAGGAGCGTCTCATTGGTGAAATCAACACAATCCCAATATCCAGAGCATTCACCTCTTTTTTTAAACTATTTAATCTCTTCTAAACCTGCTTCAGACAACCCTCAATCCTTCATTGTCAAATCTATCGCTGTATTCCTAATAACCTCTTCAGAACCCCCCTTCTCCTCAAGTACTCTCTTCTTCTCATTATACAACGACTTCGCATGCCTCACTAAATACACCTGTCCTTCATACTCCCTCTCACTTCTTCCCTCTTTAAATTCTTCCATTTTAATTCCCTATAAAATTTATCTCAATTTATAAGCCACCGTCCGGGGTTTTGGGGTTTTGGGGTTTTGGGGTTTTGGGGTTTTGGGG